TATGTAAAGTATATTCACGCTTACTATAAATATGGGTTGATATTACTCCGATTTTCACGCTTTTTATAAAACAATCTGACAATTTATACTGCCTAGTAGGCCTAGGACCTTATGTTGTATTATGTCACAGACGCTAGAGCAAATTGATGGTGATTCTAATCTCATTAATATATTTGTTATTGCAGGTTATCGATGGAGATTTAAAAACACGTAAGTGTTATTTGTTTTCTCAGGGAACAGTAAAATTACAATTTAACTGTTCCCTATTTTTCTCTTATTATACCGACTGCGTTTATATTATTAATGTGCGTAGTACACTGACCTGCTGCTGTAGTATCATGGTAACTATAGAGAGCTAGCTACGCGACGAAGCATTGCTGCGGTGTGTGTGTATCCATAAGGTAGTTCTGGCATCTGTTTTTCCCCAACAAAACATGGACTCGTCCATTATAACACCTACGGTAAAATAAAGTCTGGCTAAGAAATCATGAATCGGAAAAAGAATATAAGGCATATTGTTTGTTTTATAGGAATTTTATTCAGTCGTACTGAACTATCTGTATTTTTGAAAATTTGATCTGTGGATATTCATAAACGTTTTATATGAATACGAGGGTTTAACTAAAAGGTATAATTTTGCATGAGCGGAAATATAACGAAAAGCACACTAGTGTACCAAGGCAATTCAACAAATTGTTGAATACCAAATATTCTCTACAAGTCTTTGAAATTATACTCTTACTAATACCAACAGTTATTTACGAATACGACAGTGTCCGATGTCCCCGAAGAAAAAAATTGGGCGTGGTCGGGCGTCGCTCAAAGACTCTCGAAAGTGTTCCAGGGGGCGATGCCCCTAATAATGTGACAATTTAAAGGTTTCAAAGGCTTACTTTATCGGTTTTTGGGGTCTACTTATATGTATAAAAAATACAAGTACATTTTTTCTCCCCGACAAATTGTGGTTTTTCTTCTCGACGGGGGAGGAAGGGGGAAGCTCTCCTCGACCAGCTCCCCCTCCACTGGCGCCACCCTTGTAATACGATAATCTTTATTGAAATTTGCATAACATATGGACAATTCATCTAATTAAATTAATACGGGATTGCAAAAGCCAAAGATGATAATAAGCCCGTGTTAATTCCGGAATGATACCGGGTGTATTTCTATTTAGCAATACTCTATATCATGAATTGAGTTTTTAAATATTATTATTTACAATTATTATTTGCATTATTTGAGAATCCTTAGGAATAAAAAATAATATATATACATAACAATATTCAGCTATAAACTAATACACTAAAAAATTATTCTGTAATCGCTACATGTTCTTTAATTCATCCCAGTGTACCATATGAGTTAAATTAATTTCGTTGCAAAACAATCGTAGAATAATGAACTTTCTAAACTTAGTTATAATTTTTGCATTAAATGATAACAATAAATGTACCGTATTTGAAAGCTTCTTGTTCAGTGTTGTTTAGTTTTATTTGTTTGAGCCGTCCAAACTATCAAATTTCATTAGTCAAAAGCAAGTGGCGTGCTTAAATATTGTCATGATGACATTACATCATGACCATATATAGGCACATCATGACTATATATGGGAATGTAACAGTTTTTTTGTCGAAGAAAATTTTAAGTGTGGACCGAGCTTTTTTTTATGTTACACAGCACTTCACTTCTCACACCAAAGACCTTATAAACACAAGATTTACGCAATTTACGCGTAACAAATAGAAGCGTCGATTTGGCACAGAAAAGTAATCAGTTTTGGGAGAGGGCGTACTAGTCGTTGCAATGGATCTGAGATAGGGTGTTCGCGTTACGCCATAAGTTCATTACCAAGTACGTTAATTAAGTTCCTTATGTTCTAAAGAGAGGGCGCATTGTGAATCGGACGCTTCTAATTGTTACGCGTAAACGTAAGTCGCGCAGCGTACGCTATGGTCAGAGCGGTCAAGGTTCAAAAGTTTTCAATTTTGCAAGAGGGCGCCGTTCATGCGTTATTACAGAATTTGCACGTGTAATCGCAAAGAACGCTATCTTGTGTTTATAAGATCTTTGCTTCTCACCCAAACGTTCGACAGATCATCGCTAGTCCGTCGGTCGTGGATTTCCATTTTCGTTCGTTACTATTATTCAATAACCCTTCTCCTTTATACCATTATATACCATGTATAGACTTTAGAAACAGTTTATTGGAGAAAAGGGATTTCTCCAATAAAGTGTTACTAAAGTCTTTACATTGTATTCGATTCCTATATTCTTTTATTATCTTACCGACACACACGTGGATCCTCACAATGTATATATATATATATATATATATATATATATATATAATTATATATA